CTAACTTTGCCAGCACCATTTACTGTCTTTTTTCCATTCTATATTTTTAGCTCCCTTGTCAAAGATTAGGTGGCTATAGGTCTGTGGGTTCATTTCTGAGTCTTCAGTCCTATTTGGTTGGTCCTCGGGTCTGTTCTTGTGCCAGTACCAAGTTGTTTTTTATTACTATGGCTTTGTAGTAGAGTTTGAAATTTGGAATTGATACTCCTCCAATGCTGTTTTTTCTGCTAAGAATTGTTTTTGCTATTCAGGGTCTTTTATTTTTCCATATGAATTTTTGGATTGCTTCTCTATTTCATTGAAGAATGAGATTGGAATATTGATAGGTATCACACTGAATTTGTATATAGCCTTTGGCAGTATTGCCATTTTCACTACATTAATCCTCCCAATCCAGGAGCATGGGAGATTTTTACACTTCCTTAGTTCTGCTTTAATTTCCTTTTTCAGGTTTTTAAAGTTTTCATTATAGAGGTCCTTCACATCTTTAGTTAACTCCTAGGTATTTAATTTTGAAAAATCAAGTAAGGGGTCAGCACACCAGAAATTAATAGGTTTAGGGAGAATGGTGAGGAGAAAATAAGATTGGAGGAACTAAGGATGAAAAGTGAGAGAGTGATTCAGAGAAAGGGCAGGGATAGCAGGAAAGGAGAAGAGAGATAAAGAAAAAAGAAAGATTAAAAATAAAAAATTTAAAATGAGATACTTAAAAATTATATAAGTATAAAGAAATAAATCTACAATTAATGGAGTTAAGGCTGGGAGTTTGTGAAGTGAGGAATCAATATCTGAATTAAGTATGTATACAATGAAGGATAAGGTCTAATAATTGAAGACAGGTATATATCTGGGGATGAACAGAACAACAATTAAATAATGCAAAAAAATCCCCTAAAAGGACTACAAGGGGAAAGAGTATAAAGAGAATATTAAAAAAGAAACAATAACACAACAAAAAAAACACAAACCTAAAATAAAATGAGAAAAATAGACAACAGTTTTTAAAAAAATTAGGTAGAAAAAAGTTCTTGGAAAAAAAATTGGGGGGGGGAGGGGCAGTGGTGGTTCTTGTGTCTCCCCTGTATTGGTAATCAGTCTCTTGGTGGTGGAGTCTCTGGTTTGCTTGTGGTGCTTGGATGTGGCTTGGTTGGTTTCTTAAATCAGTTTGTTTGAGCATGCTGAAGGAAGCTCTGTCTCACCCGGGAGTTTATGGCTCTCCTCCCAGGCTAGTTCAGTGGGAGGGTGATCTGCTTTGACTATCACAAAAGAGTGAGGTGGCTGTTTCCTCTAGCTTGGGGTGGATATGAGGGTTGCTAGGTTGTAGGTTGGGCTGTGGCCAACCTTTACCTTGATGGGCTAGCTCCTGAGACACTCAATCAGCCCAACCTGGAGCCAATCTCAGAATTTATGTGTACCAAGTTTCTAATTGCTCAAGGGCTGGAATTGCTTCCTGTGCAGCAGCTGGGTAGGGTAGCCTTTGGTTCTGTTTACCTGCTAAGGAGAGTCTGCCCCACCCACTCAGACCTGCTTCTGCTTGAGAGGAGCAACTCTCCCCAGGGGTAGAGCTGAGCCCTGCGGTAGATCAAATCATGCTAGCTGCTCTGGCTGGGTCTGTGTCAGTATCAAAGGTGGAGTTTTTCTCAGGTGGTGGGGAGGAGCTGCCTTCCCACCTCTGTTCTGTGAGAAGGAGTGAGGATGTCTTGGGGTACTCATGCCTATCCCTTGGATTCCGGACCGTCCACATCCATGGTTTGTGACTGTCTGTAGTTGGCTGAGTGAAGATTTCTGCTCCTTCTAGGTTCTTGCTGGTAGTGAGTAGAATTGGTTTTAGTGCCTTTGTCCTAAGCTCTCTGTGTCGAATATGGTGGCCAGCAGTAGCAGCCGTTGGAACATTTGCCGCCTTGAACTGGGGTTGCTTGAATCTGTGTCCTTAACTAAGCTGCCTGAGGTTTTCCTCTCTAGCCAAACTCTCTGTACTATGGTAACACACTTGGTGTGTCTCTATAGCTTTAGATTTTCCATTGGAATACTAATACTGGTTTCTATAGGAGAGTTTGCTTAGCCCCCAGCCTCTCCTCCACCATCTTCCTCCATTTCAGTGGTGTTGTTTAGTTGGTTGTGGGGTTTGAACTCTGGGCCTGGGCACTGTCCCTCAGCTCTTCAGCTCAAGGCTAACGCTCTACCACTTGAGCCACAGTGCCACTCCTGGCTTTTTCTGTTTATGTGCTGCTGAGGAATCGAACCCAGGGCCTCATGCATGTGAGGCAAGAATTCTACCACTGAGCCACCTTCCCAGCCCGAATATGTGTATTTTTAAATGTTCTCTTATGAGCTTTCAATTTCAGCAGACAGAACCTGACAGCTCTGACCCTCTGTGACAAGAATCTCCAAATAAATTTTCAGTCTGAGGAATTGTCTTCATCACTGCCTGCTACCAAATGTCCACAAATAAATATATATTAAAAAATAAAAATAAATGAAAAATACTACGTTTCAGGTTCTTAATGATCACACATGATCACAGTGGCAATTCCTTCCTTCCTCAGGGTTAAATTAGACTGTAGTCTTCAGTGGTCAAACACATCCTGTGTTAATTTTTCTCTCATGTCAGAGCTTGTAATAGATCAAGTGACTACTAATGTGACAGTGGATGGACAGATAACTCCTTCAAGTCAAGCTGTATGGACCATGTTGCTTTCAAGATCACTGTTATAGCTGGGCACTGGTGGCTCAGGCTGATTATTCTAACTACTCAGAGGCTGAGATCTGAGGATCTCAGTTAAAAGCCAGCCTGGTCAGCAAAGTCCCTGAGACTCTTATCTTCAATTAGCCACCAGAAAACCAGAATTGGAGCTGTGTCTCAAAGTGGTAGAGCTTTAGCCTTGTATGAAAAAAAACTCAGGGATAGCACTCAGGCTCTGAGTCCAAACCCCAGGACTTACATTTAAAAAAAGAAAGAAAAAAAGACCACCACAATAGAAGAGAAGGCAGTAAGTACCAATGGTAAAGACTATGTCTATATGTGACTTTATAATTTCATCCCTTACCTTTTTGTTTAGACTTTAGTTACATAGTCCCTAAACAAATGCAATGTTTTCTGGATAATGCAGAAGAGTCTATAGATGTGTGATGGGTACTCACATTCTCTGACACTTTAGAACTGGTATAAGCCTAACAACTAAGCAAGAAATGGTCTTTATGTCTAAGCCAGAAATTACAGGTCAAGTCCAGAGACCATGCTTGATCTGCAAACGAGAATACCACGGAACCTACAAGTGTATGTCCCATACATGGGGGAGACCTTGTAAAATAGGAAGAAGAGGCACCTTCATCAGCTGATGCTACCAGTAAGAATTTCTGGCTATAGAACTTGGACATCTGAGTCTGTGTGTGTGTGTGTGTGTGTGTGTGTGTGTGTGTGTGTGTGTCCAAGTGAAGCTGATGTTAATTAGAGAGTCACTGATCTGCTTATCTTTATCCAAGTAAGAAACGTGTCCATGTTTGCTAGACACACTAATGGAATAACTCATCTAACCTTTGAACCCCACTTAACTTTATACCACAGGATGCATTCATCTCTGTTTTTGGTCACAGTTTGGGATTGCTCTCTTCATTCTCTGTATCTAAAGGAGACACAAAGGATTCTTCAGGCCTACATGAAAAGTAAATAAGTTTATAATTTATTGATATTTTTAAAAACAAGACCTGTTAAAGATAGTTTGAGCAGTTTCTCTTCTGGTTTGGGCAATCAGAGACTTCTCTCTTCCTTCTCTGTCCTACTGTCTGATACTCTGCTTTAATACTTGCCTGTACCACGGGGCTGGCTGTATCATATTAAGGTAGAGAGTCTGTTTGGTTTCTCTCATACTTCACTCTTTTTCACAATACCACCCATCAACAGGGACAAGAGCAACTGATGAAAACCTTACATGAGGCTAGTCTGCCTGCTGGTTGTTCTTTTCTGGGTTAAGGGTTATACTTCTTATTAGTGTGTAGAGATATGGACTAGACTAGGGCCTGGAGGAGAGGCAGAGAGTATTTTTGGATCTGGCCCAATCATCATAATACATTAAATGGTCACCAGTAAATTGTCTACTTGCCACTAAAGTGTTAGGATTATGAGATATATCTGCTAATACCTTGAGGGTTTTTTTTGTCTTTTTTTGGTCAGTTGTGGGGCTTGAACTCAGAGCCTAGTAGCTGTCCTTGAACTTTTGTGTTCAAGGCTAGTGCTCTACCATATTGAGCCATAGCTCCACTTCTGGTTTTTTGGTGATTAATTGGAGATAGAGTCTCACAGAGTTTCTAGTCTGGGCTGGAAAATCTTTGAACCATGATCCTCAGATCTCAGCCTCCTGAGTAGCTAGGATTACAGGTGTGAGCCACTGGCACCCAGCTACCTTGAATTTTCTACCTGGAGTTTTGATGGAACTCCTGTCTCCAGGAAACTTCACTTGAAGGCATCATGGGTTTGTTGGAATCCTCTGTGGAGTACAGAATCCTGACTTTCCTGGCTCTAAGTTTTTAAGGGCACATGTTTCTAAGTTGTGGAAGGGATTTGTGAAGTCATCTGTTGATTGCTTATTTGGTTTTATATAGGTGAAGCTCTAAATGGGAGGTTTGAGTCGTGGGAGTGGGAGGGGCAATAGGAACAGCCATCCTGGAGACACTTCTGCGATGGTGAGGCAAACAACAACTATGGGAAGCAATGAAAGTCTCTAAGAAATGGCTAACGGTGATGTCAGGTGTCACACGTTGGAGGAGTGGAGCATGCTCGGGGCTGCTTGGCTCCTTAGGACATGCAGGGAAGCCAGGCTTTGGGATATGCCCTTGGGCCTTACTTACTTACTCTTTCACACAGGTCCCTCCCTCTACATCTATGTCATCTACCCTCCCCCTGTTACGCCAGCCTACTTTATGTTATCCCTTAAAAGCCACCAAAGACAGGATTCATACAAAAATATATTTTATGTTGAAAATGCAAGAGTCATTGATATAAACATCCCATTGTATCATAACATCTTTGCTTTCATCCTAAATTGAAAACAACAAGAACAACCACAGAATCTTTCCAATGATTCTTACAAACCCTTTACCACACTGTGGCAAAGTGGATACAGAAGAGGACCCCAAGATTTTTACAGGAGTCAAGTGACACGGCCAAGACTCTTCATTTCCAAACATATCAGAATCAATGACAAATTAAATTAAAATAATAACTTAACATTGCTTAAGAAACACTGTGATTCACATCTCTTTAGACAACTCATATCACTTGGGATTAGACTAAGTGAATCTCAAGACAATTCTGAGAAAGGAAAGAGGATATAAATATATATATATATATATAAATAATATATAATATATTCTCAGCTCCTGGTTTGGCTTCCATTCAGGCATATGTGTTCAAAGCTTCTGAGTTGTGATTTTCATGTCCAGGAACTTCACGGAATCCTGGACCCACTTCTGCTGGGGGTCAGCACAGAACTTCTTGCCCAATTTAGTCTTGAAGCTTCAAGGGAAAAAAGAAGAACTAGTTAGCTAGTGGTGAGAATACCTTGAGGGTCCAACCTGGGAGTGCAACCTACTCTCTGGTAACTGCCAGGGTCACTTAGCCAGGGGTGATGGGGTCATTTCTAGGACAGAGGAGGAAGAAAGCAAGACACAGGAAGGGCTTCAAGGGAAACAGCCTCTCACACCGGCCCATACAAAGCCCATCTTCATTCCTAGATGGAATTGGGGCATGGTGAGTGGAAAGGTAGCTAGCTGGGAGTCTCTTTCTTTGTGAGATTTAGTGTCCCCATTAGACAATTCCTGAGCTTGGATTAGAGATGTTCTGAGTGCCTGGCTGCACACCAGTCTCCTCATATTCCTCTCCTCTGCCCCAAGGAAAAATTTAGGACTGATGATTGAAGGCAAGGTGGTCATGGCCCACTCACATCACAGCAGGCCAGGGACAGTGGCTGTGGGTGACCATGGTGTAGCTCTCCAGATTCTGCCTGGGGATCTTCTTTCGGTTCACTTTGTAGCAGCAGGTGGTGATATTGCTCCCATCTGTAAGGCAACAAGAAAAGGTGTTTGTGCTGGGTTCGGAGTCTTTGTATTTGTGATAGCAAGAATGATGAGAAGGAGAGAGAGACAGGAAAAAGTGAAGTCACCCAACCCCTAGCTCCATGTCTGTGCCCTTTGGGGGACCTCTGTTCTATTCTCTTTCACCGACATACACTGTCACCACTCAACAGGGTAACAAGGACTGAGGGCAACTCTGGGTGACACTGGGAGTTAATACAAGAATCTATTTCCTTAGGATAAGGGAATTTTAGTGATAAGTCCCCATTCAGGCTCCCAGAAACTTAGGTCTGGTGATGAGCTTTCCGGATGCCCACTGCCTCGGCAGAGCTGCTGTTCCTGGAAACTGAGGTGAAGAAAGTACAGACTAGATCCTGGCTCTTCTCCCCTCCTGCCTCCCCACATCTCAATCTTCTATCAGCTAGGCTCTGGAGCACCATAGACAACAGCCAGACAGTAATAGCAGGATCGACTTTGCAGAGCTAGGTTCTGGAAGGAGGCAAATCAAGGGTCCATAGCTGGAATTTTAGTTCCTGTGGTGCCCAGAAGCAACTGTGAGACTGTGCTCATTCCTTGTCCTTCTCTGAGCTGCCTTGTTTTGGAAAAGCAGTGGTTAAGGTGAAATTGTAGGTCCCTCATGCGCTATGATGATCCCTGATTAACCGGAGATGGGGTAATATGCTGTTAGAGGAAGGGAAAAGGGGGTCTTACCAGGCTGAGCCAGGACATGGGTGCTGATGATGGTTTCTGTCAGCAGCAGGGACAAAAGCATTGCGGAGACCTTCATGGTGATGGGTGAAAGAGCAAGTCTCATTCAGTGTGAGAGTTGACAGGTTCTGGACTGCACTCAGCCTCTCTGCTCTCCAGTGTCTCTGTCTCTGTCTTTTATAGGAAGCAGAGAGGGTAGAGAAAAGGGGATGTAGGGTGAGAGGTCTTTGTCATCCAGAATGAATCATGGGATGGTGTAATAATTGCTGGGTTAACACTCTGCTCTCTCTAGGGACGGGGCCAGGAGGTGAGAAAGTGTGTGTGTGTGTGTGTGTGTGTGTGTGTGTGTGTGTGTGTGTGTAAGGCCAGCCTGTTCCATCTAAGATCAGGAATGGTATTAGGTGGAGGTTTTGCCTAGGTAGAATGCAGTATGTAATTTATGGTTATAATTATGATATAATTATGAACTGGCTTCTTTGGAATGAAGCACATTCCACAGAAAGAGGAAGGAAGCAGGCTTGCCAAAGTCAAGGAGATGGGAACAATTCTCCCTTGGATTCCCCACATGGACCCAGAGACTCTTTACTATCTTAAATTCTTGTGGCTTTCTAATAGAAAAGTAAAGTTGAATAATAAAGCGGTAGTGTAGAAATGGAACATAGTGTGTTTTTTGAAGCATAGTGCCTAAGAATTGTTTTATAAGAGATTGGAATTACATGGTGCATAAGAATCTTGGAATGATGTGATTTTCAAAATACCTGATTTGCTATGAAAATTTCCAAGTAAATGGAACTACCTTCTATCAGGCTCCTGCTGGTCCCTTTTTCCAAGGCCACACTAAAAGTGGAATTTAGGGTCCAGGCCCTTTTTCAATGCTGTTATCACTGTCCTGGGTGATGGGAGACTGAAAGATTCTTTTGCGTGAAGTCAAAGTCTTGGCTTCTAGTTTTCTTGGCAACATAATTCTTAAAAAAAATTACTAGTGCTTTTGTGATCTTCCAGTAACTATGTGTAAAATCTCTCCCTTCATGCATTCTTTGCTGCTTTCCTTCTTCTTCCTTGGCTAACTTGTCTGCTTCCTGTATACCAGACCTACAACTTTCCTTTAGGTTTCCAGGCTAAGCATCTGTATACAATTGAAAGGTTCAATTGGTATTTCATTGTAGAGAGTCTAAAAATTCTACCTCCCATGTATCTATAGTCAACTCATTTTAAACAAATTAAGACTGGAGACAGGGCCATCTTCAATAAAGGGTGCTTTTTAAACTGCATCTTCACACCCAAAAGAATGAACCTAGTCCCTATATCTCTCATTCAAAATGTGTTAAAGAACTAAACTGGAGACCTGAAATTTTTTTTAAAAAAAACTGAAAAGAAACCAATGAGAAATACTTGGGATGTTGTCTCTGTGTTAGAATTTTTCGGACAAAAATCCCAAAGCACAAGAGATGAGAACCAAAACAGACAAACAGGATTTCATCAACCTCAAAAGCACAGCAAAGGAAATAGTCAACTCAGTTCACAAGACAACCTTCAGCCTGGGAAGAAATATTTGCAAATTATACTATATTACCAGGGGATGTTCGGAACAAAATATATATGGGACTAAAAATCTTAATAGTAAAAAGAAATAATAATAATACTCCAATGACAAATCGATGGTGGGTCTAAATGAACAGACAAATGGCTAGCAGATGACATGGAAAGATGCTCCACATCACTAACCATTAAGGAAAGGTCAATCACTGCTCTGGGTTCATGCTAAAAGGCTGGAGGAGCTGGAGTCTGACAGTATGGTGGTGGTAAGCAGCCATAGATGGATACCCTTGCTCTGGAAGAATGGAGCTTGCATGTATTGGCTAGCCTTCTCCTTAGAACTCCTTTTCTGATCAGCACCCCAGCCTGTGGGATGCTGATGCATCCAACATTTTCCTTTCAATTACTGTTCTAAGTATCAGTCATTGCTGGAAGCATCTTGCAGACACACCCAGAAATGTGCCTCACTAATCTCTTAGGCATCTCTCAATCCAATTCAGTGGAGAAGATTAACCATCAAACACAGGCTGCTTAAGAACCATCGGGTATATAAAATAAGTCTACATGTAACCTGTACAGCTATGGATAAATGGTGACTCACACAAAATTAGCAACAAAAATCTTGTTGGCCTGCTGGATTCGGATCTCAAAGGCCAGGTCACAGTTCCCAGCTACCTACCATAAATCTTCATCTGGTCCTTAGGTGCCATAGTTTGAAAGAATCCCCCCTCCTCCCAACTGCCACCCTCTCCCCTCCCCCCACGACCAGGCAAAACCCCAGAACACAGGCATATGTTACCTGACATAGAAAAAGGGAGTTTTCCTGGGTTAGCCAGATGGATCAAGATAAAGTTCCTTTCAAGATGGAGACAGGTGTCAGAGACCAGATAGAAGATGTGAAGATACAGAAGGGAGCTTGGATTAAGAAATGCAGGTAGCATTTACAAGTTGGAAAAGATGAGAAAATGATTCTTCCTCAGTCCTCCAGAGAGTGCAGCTGTATGGATTCACTGTAAGTTTCTGTCCTCAAGAACTGAGTTAATGCATTGGTTATGCTTTAAGCCATTTCATTTAGGGTGATTTGTTACCTAGCAGTAAGAAACTAAGGCAGATTTTTTTTTTTTGCTATGTAAAATGCTGCTGGAACATACATTTAAAATCTGGGAAGGCTTCTGGAGTTAGACAATGGACAGAAGAATTCTGAGAGTGACTGTAAAAGCTTGGCATTTCTGGAATAGACTGTTGGCAGTAGTGGGAAATGAATGAGTTCTTCTTAGCTTTGCCTCCTAAAGAGATTTATTATCGCAGGGCTTGGTGCTCAGTGTTATTATGAAAGGAGCAAGAAATAGTCCAGGCTTGACTGGGGGAATATATGGATTTGAGACTTCCTGGAAACGAATAGCCATTGCTTGAAACATGCAGCCTGAGCAGAGTGTTTTAGGGGTTGAACACAGGGAATCCTGGGATCCCATTCTGCCCTTTCTCTACCCAGACCCTCTGTGGCAAATCTGTCTGGCATCCGAGGATCTGCTGCTATGTAAAGCTGTATCATGAGGCCTCACGTGTTTGTACTCCATTCTGCATCTGCCTCTTGGTATCAAATGTACTTTGAGATTTCATTTCTGATGGGTAATTAAAGCTGGACAGGTAGAGGAGAGACAGAAAGGCTTGTTGGATCTGCAGTGAGGGTCAGGGTGTTCCATAGACAACCATCAATAAGTTCTTTACTGTCGGCTGAATCTGAGCCCTTGGGGCTTCGAAGAGAGGCTGAGTCAGAGAGCCTTGTCTAGCTCAGTAATGTAAAAGCAGAATCTCTCTCTCTCTTCCTCTCAGCTCCAGCTGGTAGAAACAAAAGCTTTTTTTTCCCCAAAGACAATCTCTTAGAGTCCCTAGTGGAAACTTTCGGCCCCACGAGTTCCTCCCGGTGTAACACATTTTCCTTTTCATTTTGCTAACAGAGACTCGGACTATCTGACCAGGTGACAATGAGTCAGGGTTGGTTCTGAGATTGGAATGCAAGTGTCCTTCATGCATTCTAATCTCAGCTGCCAAAGTACTTCTTGCTGCCAAAGGCACTTCCAGGTCTGGCTTGGCACTGCTCATCTCCCCCACCAGATGGAGAAGGAGAATACCATGAGAGTTTATTCACTAGAGTAAGATGTTCACTCATTTTAGTGGAGAAACTTTCTGTGGGCCCCAGGGGAAACAAATACTCCATGGGGAGTGGGGGACTAGTGTCTAATAAAAAGGAAATTCAGACCTTACTTAAGAAGAGAAAAATCCATCCATTTAAGTGGATGGTTCCAGGCTTCTGGGGTAGAGATGGAGGATGGTGATGGAAGGAAGTGCATTCAGGTGTCTGAGAAGTTGCTCTTTTAAAATGTGAGTTGAAGAGGAGACTTTCTTATCTTGGTCACAGGTCCTTCCCCTCCATCTACAGCATTCAACATTTCACCCTGCCTAGTGCATTCTCCTCCAGTGCTACCCATGAGGCAGCCTCTACAGCCCTCAGCTCATGCTGTATGGCTGATTCTCACTCCTGCCCACTCCCTCTCACTTTTTGGTTTTAAGAGTCTCATGGTCTTTCCTGCCCAGGCTCGTTTTCAAACATGATCCTCAGATATCAGCCTCCTGAGTAGCTAGTGACACCTGGCCCATCATTCCCTTTTAAACTACCAAGTTGAATAACTATCCATCTTCACATTCAAAACTCCTTGCCCTTCCATTTTACTTTTAATCTATAGTTTTATTATCTTTAAGTAGTCGCACAAAGGACTCAGCAGTTTATGAACACAATGCATCTTGATGGAGGTCATTCTTTTTTTCCTGTCAATCTCTCTCCTCCCTCCCAACCCTCCCTTTTCCCCAATTTCCTCAATTGTGTAGGATATGCTTTACTTTCTAAATGTCCCATCACTAGACATGAACATAGACCAGTAGCCTCCAGCTGATTGGTTTTCTTGCTGTCATCTGATCCTTTTCTCCCTCTTTGATGAACATATCATCATTAGTTCCACCTCCAGATATTTGCCCCCCCCATTCATCTTTCTCCTCTCCTTGATGATGCTCTGTTTTTTTTCTCATGAAAAAGAGTGATCATTGATCAAGGATAATTTAAAGTCTTCTCTCTGCAGCCTTAATCTTACCAATGCAACGATCTTATTGATAGTAAGTAAGTCTCCTTCCAATTTCTTGGTGCCTTCTGTGTGTCTGAATTACTCCAGGTTAGAGAAATAATTGGAGAACAGATTGGAGTTAGCTAGGGAAGTTAAGGGGCAGTTGGAACATATCATAGGAGGGACACTAAGTTGTAAGGAAAGCAATGGGGCTGTGGCTTTGGCTAGGCAGGTGATTAGAGTCACAGGGATTTGAGCAGCTAGTATCAGGGGATTGAAATAGTATTACTATACTGCCTGATTGGGATCCATCTTAAAAATTCTCCAGTAGGTACTCAGAGGAGACCACCAAGTGGAAATGATCAGGGAAAAATCCATATTCCTCATCCTCCAAGTGTGAGCCCACCCTCTGGAATCCTGCTCCCTTCTCCACTGAACCCATTCTCCCAGCTCTGAAACTCCCACCAAGTAGACATCACACACCAGGCTTTTGTACAAAAATACATATTTTATTTAATAGGTGATTTTCTGTAGCTCACCAGCTTAATAATATATAGTTATATAATATTCATCCTGAAATAATATTTTTAACCATGTGGTAGAAAGTTCTTGTAGTCACAATCTCTGCAAAGGTCCTCACAAAATCCCATGTGTAAGAATCAGAGTTCACAAAGAGAAAATAGTGAGCCCAAATCTGTGCATACCTCCTCACCCCAGCACACACACACACACACACACACACACACACACACACACACACACAAATAAAAACACATATTCATAGAAGATAAAGAGAGACTATCCATGAGATTAAGGCAGTATGGCTCATGTTGTACTAGTTCACTATGGTACTAGTAGCAGTCACTGTGGGAACACTAGTCACAGATAAATTAGCTACAGGTTCTTGAGCTGTGATGTTACTGCGTGAACTAGTTACTTTCCCGGTAGTATTAGCAGTTATGGAGGGAACACTGGTCCTAGGTAAATTTGCCACAGGTTCTTGAGTTTTGAAGTTTGTATTCAAAGATGTCAAAGCTTCTGGTGGAGTTGGGTTCTGGTCCCGTTGGGTTTTCTCATTGCGCTGTGCTTTCTGGTTGAGTTGCATTTTCTGGTTCAGTTTGGCCATGTGGTCTTGAACCCACATCTGTGTAGGATCAGCACAGATCTCTTTGCTTTGTATGGTCAAGAAACTATGGAGAGAGAGAGTGAGAAAGAGAAGAGAGAGAGAGAAAGAGAGGGAGAAAAAGAGAGAAAGAACGCAAACACCATTAGATGAGTGCTTCTGCAGGTTTGCCCCAGGAGTACAGCCCATGTTGTACAAAAAGGCTTTTATGGGGTTAGGGCAGGTAGAAGAAGCAGACCAGAGCAAGATGCTCCTGTATGCCTGTATGTTTGCCAGGAGAAAAACATCCCGACTTCTGCCTAAATGTAACTGAGATGATCCAAATAAGCACCCATGTGGGGAGAGATGTTGGGAGGTATGTTTTCCTTCTTGCCTTTGGCTTTCCCGTGGGGATCAATCAATACTGGACCAGAAGGTGTAACCTTCTGACTCAGATGTCACAAGGATTATCCGCCCCTTGTTCCCCAAAGGGCTCTGGTAGGAAGTGCATGGTGCTCAACTTACATCACAGCATTTCGGGGACACTTGCTGCTGGTGATTTTTCTGTAGCTCACCAGCTTCTTCAATGGGATCTTCTTGTTGAACGTATAGCAGCAGGTGTTTGAGAAAACTGATTCTGAAAAATAAAACCACAAACAAAAGGCATTTTAAAATAGACTGGATGGGCAGTTTGTAAGAAGGCAAAGAGACAGCAAGTAGAGGCAGAACCTACTAACCCCCCACAATATCTGTGTGTACATAGAAGGTGGCATGTTATCTTTGACATGCTCCCTCAGTTATATATATATATATATATATATATATATATATATATATATATATGAACGTAGGAATGTTATGAACGTAGGAATGCGGAATGCAATATTAGTAAACAAACAAAGCAAAAGGGGAACTGTCAAAATGAGGAAACTCCAGGAATTGTCATTAAGCAGGGATTAATAATTCAAAGTATCAGGCCTAAAGAAGAGCACCAGAGACCCTAGCTACAGGGCCCATTTTAAGCTCCAAAACAATCTAACTTGAGTTATAAGCATCCTTGATACCCACTGCCTGGGCAGGCAGAACTGCTGTCCCTGAAATCTGGGATGAAGAAAGCACAGACCAGATTCTGTCTTGACTCTCCTCCTTCCACACATCTGGAAGAGTTCTATACACCTGCCTCTCTCCGCACCTCTGCCTCTGATCATCCAGGCCCCCCCAAACACTGCTGACAGTAGCTGGGCAATAACTACCCAAGGGCCCTTCCACAGCTGGGTCCTGGAAACAGCTGGATCCAGGGCCCACAGCTGGAATTTTCGTTCCGAGGCACCTAGAAGCAGCCGTGCGACTGTGCCCACTCCTGACCTTCTCCGGGCTGCTTTGTCTTGGAAAAGCAGTGGTTAAAGTGAGACTGTGGGTACCCCAATTACTGTGATGGTACATAATAACCTAGGGATGGGATGATGTGTTTCTGGGGTCAGAGGAGTGTTGGGGGGAAGAGAACAGGGGGTCTTACCTGGCCCAGCCAGCACGTGGATGCTGATGATGGCTTCTGTGAATAGCAGGGAGAAAATTGATGTGAAGACCTTCATGGTGGAGCTTCTATGTGAGAGCTGGAAGTTTTTGGTCTGGGCTCAGCTCAGCTCTGCTCTGTGGTGGCTGTGTCCCTGCTTTTTATTGAAAGCCAAGAGAGTGGATCTGGGCAGGAGGGCTGGCCTAGGCTGCATCGTCATCAGTGAATAATGAAGTCAAATGGAATGTTGAATTTGCTGAGCAAGGACAGCATTCTGGGAGGTTTCCAGGAATTAGAAAAAGGAAGCCGTGGGTGAGAACAGGGTGCCTTTTCTACTCACTCCTGAGACCACATGAAACAGGGCAGGGAGGGGAGTCTGGGAGAGTGGGGAGCCATTCTACCAGACTTACCACAGATATAAACCCACTGTGAAAACATTGACTCCACTTACTTTGAAGCAAAAGGAAAGAAGCAAGGAAGCTGAAGTCCCTGGGGAGATGCAAATAGGGCTCAGCTGGCTCTTTCCTGGTCCCCATGTGGGCCATGGACCAAGAGACTTTTGAACTGGGAAAGGACCTTGAAGCCTTAGTAGTTTTCCTATCTGTGTTTTAAATCATTTGCTTTTTTTTTTTTTTTGAAATGTAAGGTAGTGGCACCATGCACACCTTACAGAACTGTGGGGCTTTTCTAGACATTGAATCAAATTGAGTTCTGAGATCAAGTTGAGCTGCAGAAGCAATATCCCTGGAGTACTCACAGCTTGCTTGTTCATATACCAGGAAAGTTATAAGCCCTCTATCAATGTCAGGTCTTTAAATTCCCCATACTGTAGCAAGTAAGCATGGTTGATTTTCCTCTTATAGATCAGGTTAAGAAGGGTTCTAGATAGAAGCTAGAGTAGACCCTAGACAGCTGAGCTTCAAGAGTTATGATATCACTATTGTAACACTTGGAAAAGAACACACACGAGTTGTCCATCTGGCTGCCTGAATACGTTTCTGGCTGTCTGTCCTCAGCGGCTCCTGAGCTAGCATACAGCTAAAAATGCACAGAGAACCATCCCTTGTGGTCGGCTACGCCACAGGGAGCTAGGAGACTGTGGTCAGTACGGCAGGGAATAGTAAGAAGTACATCCCTGTCCTGATGGCTGTCTTCCTAATGTCTTGACTTCCCGGAAGTATGAATGAGCTGAGGAATGGTATTTGGGGAATGGGAATGCCTGGCTTTAGACTGCCTCAGAAACCATGGTAGCCTAGCAATGAAGCAGAAGACCTTAGATTCCCTGCTGCAAGTCCTTTTACAATATGGTGCAATTCTGTGAGACATGTCGGTGGTTGAACAGAACTTACCACTCAAGTCTCTTGACTGCCGGCGTCTTTCTGAGGGCCTCATCCATGTGCTTGTCCAATGGTTACAGAATATAGAACAAGCACCTTAGACTAAAGGTCCAACAGGCAGGGACTGAAGGCTTTTTCATGAACATTCTCTGCGACCATGTCTGTAAAAGCATAGAACTCAAGAGAGAACAGTTGCTATTTTGATACTATGGTAAAGAATGGATGTATCAACCAAAGGATTTGCTGTGGTCCATGGTGAGTCGTGATTCAGTGTTCTGCTGAGTGCTTACAGGAGTGTTTAGTAGTCCTTGAATAACCTGATCGTCCTTAGGTTGAAAAGCTCAATATTTGGCCTTATATGTCACAGCCAAAGCAGGCCACACAGGAGCTGAGAGTTCACCCCAGGACTCGGATCCCAGCACCCTTGTAACTGGGCACTAGGCTTAATGTCTTATGATGGTTGTTAGTTTCTTAAAGAATGGTGGACAACTAGACCCCTTGAGTTGGGAAGAGGACAGCACAAGTCACCTAGGCTACTGTGCTTTGCTTGCACCTGTCTTGGAATCTTTTCATCCTGTCTGATTCTTCTTTTTTTTTTGTTAGTCATGGGGCTTGAACTCTGGGCTTGAGCGCTGTCCCTGAGCTCTTCAGCTCAAGGTTAGCGCTCTACTGCTTGATCCACAGCATCACTTCTGGTTTTCTGAGTGGTTTATTGGAGATCAGAGTCTCACGGACTTTCCTGTCTGGGCTGGCTTTGAACTGCGATCTTCAGATCTCAGCCTCCTGAGTAGCTAGGATTACAGGCATGAGCCACCGTCTCCCAGCCCTGCCTGATTCCTGATAGCAACTTTTCCTCCACTGTGAGTATTGAAACCCCACTTCACTTGGGTCAGAATTTATCGGTCCATTCTGATAAAATGAATAATACATTATTTTCAGGACTGGAGAAATGGAACCTTACCCACTCATTTGTTCCCAGACAATTTCAACTTCAGTTCCAAGAAGCTTTTCCTCATGGAACAGAAGCCGGTCTCTCATCTCTGACGGAGTCCTAATTCCGCAGCCTCATCCCATTTCCCCGTGGAATTCTGCACTTCCTTGGGCTTCATGTAGGCCAACAGCTTGCAAAATGGCAAGATCTTTACATTTCTCTCTCTTGGCTCCATTCCATCTCTCCTATTTCTTAAAAATCCTTGGCCCTAAGAACCTGTGAAGGTAGTGGAGTGCTAACTTCCCTTTCTGGGTGAGGAAAGAGGGCCTCTGATAGACTCTGATTTTGCTGACCATTTTGACTGACCACTAAGTGCTGGAAGTGGAGTCTGCAGGAGAGTAACGTGACATGGCCATTGTAAGCCTCAGACAAAAAAATACACACACACATGAAAGGAGGAGGGGGTGGGGATCATACAAGGACATCTATGGACAGTGAGGGTCTGTTTCTCTCCAAACTTCCACTGTCAACAACCTCACCCTTCACAGCTGGCAGGTCAGTGAGAAAGTGGGAAGAGAGTGTGGAAATCCCCACTATGAGGCAGTTTTGGAAGTTCCCGGCTCCTGCGGGGAGACAATGCTCTTGCCTGGGCCTGCATTCCAAATGCTGGGCCTGGAGCCAGGCAGCTCTCACGTGGGCCTGTGCTGGGAATTCCTCCACACAAGCCCGGGCTGAGATCCCACTTAGGGGGCATCAAAGGGAAAGGCCTTGGGAAGGGATGTGGAGGGCTCTGTGGACCCATATTTTCATGCTCCCCTGAATCTCTAGCTCTCCTGGGACCTCACCCCCATTAACACCCAGAGGAGGAATGGAAAGTTATTCTTCATGAGTAACGCTTTCTTCCTTCCTCTCGGGGGACTTCCCCCGCTCCAGGATCCATCTCCTCCAGCCTAGTCATCACTGCAGACTCTCACTCAGGTCAGAGGTAGAGAATAGAGGAAATGAAAGTGAGCTTTCTAGAAAGATCTGAAGCCAGAGCCTGGGCTCTTGGTCTGGCCACTTATGTCATTCACTGATAATCCCACCTCCTCATCTGAAGAGGGTCCCCTGATGCTATGCTTGCTTATGCCCTTGCCCTCAGATCTTCAAGTGCAATGTATCACCAAACTCTGCCACGTCCTATCTGAAGGCCTCCTGGGGCCTCTGGTCCAGTGTCTTCTATTTTCTCCCCTCCCCACTCCACCTCCCAGTCAGCTCCTGGCCTTGGCCTTGAGCAAGCTAGAGCTTATGTTCCTAAACTTCTAGTTTTCCTTTCAAAAGGGGCCAAATCCTTCATGGTTCTTCCACAGAGTGTTAGATAAGAAATAGACCTTCAAGACCTTCTTTATCAGCTGGAGAAACCCATATCAAGGCAGTGCCAGGCCCGGAGGGAACCCAGAAACCGCATGGCAGTGCTCACATGGGTTTGCTGCTATGTTCACCGGGTCTTTTTGCCTGTCTCTCACTGTCACCTGTCCAGCAGAGAGGGCACCAGCAAAGGCAAGGTGAGCCACATGTGCAGCTTTCTGTCTAGAAGAGGGGCTACCAGAAGGAGCTGTGAGCAGAAGGACTGAGCTGCAGAATAAACCTGAGCAGCATGCACTGACCCAAGTTTCTGGCATCTAGGTGTTTGCTGTGCTCTGAGGTTGGGTCTGCCCCAGGGTCCATTTGTATGAAAGAACTGAGGGTCTATGGCGAGCTGGATGTGGCAGTGGTGACTGAGAGTGGGAGAAAGGACGTGGGAATGGTTTACCTTGCAGGCCACCCTGCAGCACTGGGGCTGCACAGTGGGGGAGGGGCTGCTTTCCTCCTTTGGGACCTGCATGGCACAGGTGACTCAAGCAGGGTGATGAGGGGAACAAGGGACAGGCGATGACCTCTGAGGCATCCGCAAGCGGGGAGGGGTCCTTGGAAACAGACTGAAGGCCAGTGGATCATTTCATGTCTTCTCACCTCCGGGAAGCCCAAGAGACATAGGGAATTATGTTGGTGTGGACCAGAGGTAGGGGACAGTGAGTCTCAGCTGAGGGGTGCACGGAAGGCTCATGTGGTAAAGTTAAGATGGGGGTCTCAGGCAGATTTTGAACTTGGGTGATTGCTGGTGGCACCCATGGAGCCTGCTTATAACGATGGTGAATTTTAGCATGCTTCCTCATGCCCTGGGCATCTTGCTATAGTATACATCCCGATTCAGCGGTTCCTCTGAGCTAGCATGCTGCATTTCTAACCACTCCTGGGTAGTGCTGTTGCTGCTGGTGGGAGTGTGGGGTGTGTCACCGCTGCATTGGAAGAGAAGAGTGGAGAGTGGAGCAGACCTGTTGGGATGTTGTGGAAAATAACAACTGCTAAGGGGTCAAGCCTGTGGCTCTCGGATTGGCTTTAAGAACCATCTCGAAGCCAAGTGCTGGTGGCTCACACTAGTAATCTTGGCTCCCGAGGAGGCTGAGATCTGTGGATCGAGGTTCAAGGATCAAGGTTCAAAACTGGCCCAGGCAGAAAAATCTGAGACTCAGACTCCAAAAGATTGGACTGGGACAGTAGCTCAAGGAGTAGAACAACAGACTTGAGTGAAAAACCTGAGTGAGAGAATGGGTCCCTGATTCCAAGCCCTAGTGCTATCTGGAGTTGTCTTCCACATTTATAGGAGTGTCTTCTTCTGGAGAAAGGGCCCATAGCTTCTCTTAGATTAGGCATCTACAACATCTCAACAGTGAAGAATGTGTGTGTGTGTGTGTGTGTGTGTGTGTGTGTGTGTGTGTGTGTGTGTGTATTTCTAGGCTCTTCCTCCCTCTCAAATGGTGGCCAGTCTATGTTTGGAAAC